GCGTTTAGTAATCATTATGTTATCCAGAAACAATTTCTGCTCAGAAATTATTCTTTTTATTCCATTCTCGGAAATAATTTCTAAGCATTTGAAGGTGTTTGGTAACTACCCAAAATTTCTATTCCTGGAATAGAAAAAGAACAAAAATGCGTTTGGTAACTACACAATTTTTTTATTAATAATATTTTGAATTTTTTAATATTTTTTTTCTTTTTTTTTCCTTTTTTTTCTTCTTCTCCTTCCTTGGCCCATGGCTGGGTCACCAACATGGCCGGCGATTGGCCATAGGCCAGGGCCATCCTCGCTAGCGAGGGCGAGGGCTAAACCCTTGCCGGATCTGGTGAGGGTTCAGCAAGGGCCGCGACACCCTCGCCGGCCACAGGCCAAGAAAGAAGAAGAAGAAAAAATTTTCTTTTCCGTTTCTAATTCTTGTTCCTAGAATTAAGAATCAATTTTTTTTTTATTCTTGATTCTGTTCCAAAACTATTTCTGGGAACAAATTTATTTCCGGAAACAAAAAAATTGCCAAACGAATTTCTGTTCTTTTTTTGTTCTGAGGAACAAAAAAATAGAATCATGCATTGTTTGGCCGGTTACCAAATAGGCCCTAATTCATTTTTCGCGAATAAACGCCCTCGAAAAAATTAAGTCAACTCTCTCAATTTCTTGTGTGGTGCTAAGTTCAATTTAAGGTCTTAAATTGACTTTCAAAACATCAAATATTGCTAAAAATGACGATTAATGCAAGGTCCACAATACTCGGTATAATTTGATATCATCTCGTCCAGCTCCTTCCTTACATTTTTCGAGCCTTGATTGGTCGGGCTGCAGTTTGATCAAGGGGCAAGGGATCGGTCTCGATCACTCATCGAAAACCTTTGAAATTAGCAAGTAACACGCGCAACATGCCTGTGCAGGATGTACAATAAAGTGTGTAACGGTAGCAGTCCACAGCTTCAAGAACTCAAATGGTTTTATTGGTATGCATTAAATTGTCATACTTTTGCCATTCAATTTCCAACGGTAAAGATGCCGAGAATTATCAGCCAAGCAATTCGAGGAATCGACCATTTTACGGAAATGCTTTGTTGATTTAAACCCTTAGGAGCACGGAAGGACTTTTTCACAGAACAACTAAGAACATGCAGGCCAGATCCAAAGCTCCACATAATCATTTTTTACGGGCCATGGATGTTCGTCCGGCCAAACGGCAACATTTCCAGGTACCCGGCGGATATAGGAAATCACAACCTACAAAGCTCAAGAAGTCCTTGCCAAGATTTATAGGACGCTGTCATGCGATACCGTATAATACCCTTTGCATTGAGCTGACATCTGCTAAGGTCATTCTTCAATCCAATGAATCTCCATTCTGGAACCGCACACGAGATTTTCATCTCAACCCCTCCCCCCCCTCTTATGTGCATAATAACAAGAATAATTCATGAAATCAATAAAGATCGAAACATTCTCATTAATGACTACGCGGGGGCAAGTGTCTCTAGAAGAAATTTCCTAGGTCAATCTTCGTGCCAAAAGATCATTGTCGACATCAAATGATTCGTACGGTGCGGATCGGTACCTCGACAGACCGTAAAATCTCATCGGTCAAGCATCAAAAGAAGACAAAGCTGGGGAACAAACGAAAGGCTCATCTTATCTTCTCCCCTAAAGCCGAGTTGTCGGCGTCGTCGTCTCCCATCGATAGCACTAGCAGCAGCGTGGCCCACGAAACCACGTCCTTCATCAGCACGTTGAGAATTCGGTGGCAAAACGCCATGTCGTTTCCTCTCCTCCCCTCGCGAAGGACCAACCCCCCACTCGAGAAATCGCGTACGGAAACCCCGGCGACGTCACGGTGTGCGTCACTCTCGCTCCCTCCCTCCCCTGCGGCGATTAATGCGACGAGTGAATCGGGAGGACCGCGTGGGGGTCGCCGATCAGGAGAAAAGCTGGAAGGGACAGCGAAGGATGATGATGTTGAACTCGAACGTCATCGATGACCTCTTTACGTTAAGGTTTCTTCGATCTGAAGGATGGATGGATGGATGTTGGTAGGTTTGTTGCACTCTCTTAATGATGCTTTTTAACTTGCTACAAAGCACACCCACGTGAACGTGTTTAAAATTAAATTGGGATGATAGATTGAGCTAGATGAAAAATTACAAAAAAAATCATCTTGAAATTTGCAGTCATATATAAAACATCATTCTCGCTTTTCTAATTAACTTTCAATTTGCATCTCCTCAAAATTGAGAAGACCCATTATTGGGATGCGTAGAGAGAGAGATATTTCGACGCTGTCGTCGATGCCCCTCACCGTCGACATCACCCCCGCTTCCTTCACAGAGCTTGCGGCTCTAGGTCATGAGAGCTCGAGCCCCGTGACAAGGCTCACAGACAAGATCTGGTCCTGATTGGGTCGGGCGGCGATCATCTAAGGTTGGCAACAACTGCGGATGGCGGGGGTCTAGGCTCAGGGGTAGCGGCTGGACAACGATGGGATAAGAGAGAGATAGTGGATGAAACTAAAATGGAATAATGACACAAACAGTCCCTAAACTTTGGCATAATGTGTAATTTATCCCCTGAACTTTTAATTTGTTCAATGTAGTCCTTGAACTTTAACCCAATGTGCAATTTGGTCCCTGAACTTTTAATTTGTTCAATGTAGTCCCTAAACTTTAGCCTAATGTTTAACGTGGTCCGTGAACTTTTAATTTGTTCAATGTGGTCCCGAACTATTAGTACATGTTCAATTTAGTCCCTGAAATATATGAAAATGTACAATATAGTCCCTGAACTTGAATTAATGGAATGACCACATTGAACATTTTTATAAAGTTCAGGGACCATATTGAACATATACTAAAAGTCTATAGACCACATTGAACAAATTAAAAGTTCATGGACCATATTGAATATCGGGCTAAAGTTCATGATGAACTACATTAAGCAAATTAAAAGTTTAGAGATTAAATTGCACATTAAGTCAAAGTTAAATGACCCTTTGTGTCATTTCCTTAGTTAAGGTATCGGGGATTGTGCTCGGGGCAAGGTAATTCGAGAACGAAGAAGTCACGATTTCTGCAAATAAGTGGGAATGTCATGATGCAAAGTTAATATGAAAAGACCCAAAACATAAGATGCGCGGTGCAGCATTAAAAGCGACGGATAGTATTCGAAATGTAGATCTAAATACCGTGACCAATCCATCCTCCGCCACAACTTTACCACCGATCGAACACGTAGACTGCTGGCTGGCTTCACTCAAAAAGTCGTGTTGAGGTGTGAATGTGAAGGATGCTGTGGTGCGAACGAGCAATCTTTGATGACCCCAAAAAACGTCATCCGTGACCCTTTTGCGTAGGGTTGGCCCCCCCGATCTAGGTCGATGTCAGCTGGTCGGCATTCTCTTAAATTCTACTTTTGGCTAGCAGAAGAACGCCAAAAATGAAGGTGGTACGAGGGAAAATGTTTGCAGATACGAGGGAAAATGCTGGTCGGATTATTATTGTTGGATATTTGATATGTGAACGAATGCAATTGCACGGCTATCTTTGAGTAGATATATTTTATGTACTATGAGGGAAGGTCAACGGGAGCTATGTAAGCACTTTATTCACCTATTCATTCTTTATTTATTCATTCTTTAATCAATAAAGGAATCGAGATATCAAATAATTAAGTCTCAGCCATGCATCGAAGGCCTTGAACTTAGAGCTTAGGATGATGGATCGAGCATAATAAAAGCCATATTCTCCCTGTTCTTGTTTGAAAATTAGGGTAAGTTGCAAAAACCATCTTGAGATTTGTACCTAATTATTCAAAAACCATTTTTAACTTTAAAAGCTTCCGATTTGAATCTCTTCAAAACTGAATAGATCGATTGTTTATGATGTGTCGCGGCTCCCGACCGTGAGAGCTCGAGCTCCGTGACAAAGCTCGCGGACACGACCCGGTGCGAATGGGGTCGCTTGACCTCAATCTGGACCAGATTCTGAGGTCGGCAATGGTTGGGGACGCCGGGGGGGCTAGGCTTGGGGACGATGGTGGGTCGTTCTCGGGGCAAGGGTAATTTGGGAAGGGAAAAGTGACGATTTTTGTGAACAAGTGGGGATGTTCCTACGTAAGTTGATAAAAAATTGCGAAAACTTGGGATGCAAATCGTAAGTTTCAAAAGCGATGATGGCATTGATTGATATGTGGATGCAATTCTCAAGTGGCTTCTTTTAGCAATTACACTCTTTTACCACCTACCGAATAGTAGTATACTATAGAATTCGAAGGCTCACTCGAAAATTGAAGTAGCCATAAGTGATGAAATAGCTTATTAATAAGTAATAACATTTACATATCTCTACTCCTCAAGATACAGATTTTGTACTTCAACTCCACTAGCCAACCCCCCCACATAAGAAAAACTATAGTCTAAAACCACCCGCCGCCCTTGCCCGCCGCACCCATCGGCTCAAACCCCGCCGTGAACGCCGACTATAGCGCGTGGTCCCCCCGTGCCTCGGCCCCTCCAGCCCAACTCTCTTCTTCCCCGAGTCGAGCCTTCACCGACTGCGCGCCTCGAGGTCGATAAGCCATCGGCTCGAGCCCACGTTGCGCCGTATAGCTCAACCTAGTCGAGCAGCCATGGTCACGAGGAGCCCAAGGGCCAAAGCTAGGGCGGTTGTGGCGGCAAGCATGAGAGAGTTGGCGGCCATCACCGCCAGCTCGATGTCCGACGGCCATGGCTAAGAACTCGACGCTTGAGGCCACAACCGTAAGTATGCATTTTTCAAAAATATAAGTATATAAGTGGTATCAAGATAAAAACTCAAATATATCTTTTTTTAATAATTTTCCCTCATCATCAAACTTATTATATTATCCAAAATAAACAACAAAATAAGTATAAAATCCAAAAAAGAAAAAAGAAAATTAGTCAAACCCCTCTTTGCTCTCTCTCTTCGTAACGGAAAGTTTGACCCAGTACAAAAGTCGTTACTTGCCACTTCAACCGTTTGGCAAAAGAGCGCGAGAAACCGGAGGAAAAAAACTGTTCTTCTGCAGAGGAAAGCGAGAAACGGCGCGAGGGGAGTGGAAGAATGCCGATCGGAGAGGCCGCGACGACTCTGCCGGCGCACGAGGACTGCCCTCCTCCGAAGAGCGGCGCCGACCCCGGTCCTCGGCGGTTCTCGCGCGGCGGCCGCTCGGGACGAGCCAGGCGGGAGATGGCGCACGGAGGGAGGAACCCGTCACCGAAGCGAGGAGCGCTGCCGCCGGGTGAGGGGGCAGTGGCGAGCCGGCCCCATCCGCTCGAGCACTCGTGGACGTTCTGGTTCGATAGCCCCGGCACGAAGTCGAGTCAAGCTGCCTGGGGAAGCTCGATACGCCCGGTCTACACTTTCTCCACCATTGAAGAGTTCTGGAGGTAGAGCAGACTGGCTGTCTTTGATTTTCGCTTTCACCGGTCTCGTTTCGGGCTTATCTTGCTCGATGTTCTGTTTCAATCTGGTGAAATTCTGAGTTACGATATGATTTTGAAGTAGCTTTTGTCTTTCTTGGTTCGATTCTTCTGTGTTTTTCTTGGTTCTTTCTGTTCCGATCTCGTGCTGGTTTGTGTTTATGGATTTGAAGTAGCTTTTCGTCTTTCCAATCTGTGATCATACGCAGTAGGATGAACAGGAGGGTGTGAAATTTGGGTATATTTCTCTTGGGTTGAATTGAATCTTGAGAAGTAACCATGAAATTGAGAAATCCATGTGGTGGTGCCTTTTTGCTTTGCTAGCAACTGATGGTGTGTCATTTAACTTGGCTTTGTCGATTGTCGAAAGGGCAGCCGAGTTAAAGACTTAAGAGCGTCGTCCTGCACGGCTGAACTTGAACATCGAGTGTTTGTTCGGGGATTGGAACTTTTCGAGTTTAGTATTTGGTGTCAAGAAACTGACAATAGAGGACTGGATGATCTTGGATTCTGCATTTGCCATTTGGTGTTTCTACTCTGTTCTCTTGCAACATTGTGATCAATCAGCTATCGATATCGACATTTTTCCCCTCAATTTTATGTGAACGTAATGTAATATGTGATTGACTTTTTTAAGCCATATTTTCTTCTGAAGTCAATTAATGCTAAATTGTCAGGTACTGCATATACTTCATCAATATATTGTAATAGCTGATTCCCTCTTTGAATTGCATGCTCTGGTCTTGACAGTGTTGATATTGTCAGAGTCTAATAGAGGTTGTGACAATCAGATGGAAAACTGCAATTTGGCTGAGTCCATAATGGTGTTTCTAATTAGACCAACAGTATAGAGACTGCTGAACTGTATACGATGGAAAGTTATTTTGATTGCTATGGCACTCAGGCATATGACTTCTAGTGGATTCCTTAGGAAATGAAAGTTATTGCCAGATGCAGATCCTGCTTAGTGAGGTCAGATCTCTTCTGGGTAATATCTGTTGTTGTTTGTAGCATTGTACTCTGGCATCTGCTAAACTGGATGGAGTCACTTGCTAACTTCTATATACAGAATGGGGTTCTTTCTATGAAGAATCGCTCACACATTGGTCGATTCAATAAAATCTGCTCTTTTAGGTATGCATTGATACGAAAGAAGATTTGAATGGAAGACACTCAATCCACCATATTTTCGCTATTTGAAATTCCATAGAAAACAGCATTACAGCGACACACAAGAAGCTGATAATTTCACTGAGTGATTCGCAAATGAATAGTTAAGATCAGCAGTGAGGACGAAAGAAGTAGAAAAGAAGAAAGGGTGTTCAGTGCAATACCCTCAATATACTGATCAGAGAGCTGGGAGAATAGTTCCATTGCACATTGTGTTGCTTCTCAAGATGCCATGCCGATGCCATCTTGGGTGGATAAATGAAGGAGAGAACGAATTTTTTTTTTCCTTGTGATCCTGTTCTTTAGATTTTTTTTTCTGTCGTTACTTTTCTTCTTTTCCATAGTTGCTTCCTTGTGAAGCTCTTCGAGAGATTGTCGCAATCCTAATATTCCTTTTGTCAAGAACAAGTGTACAATAGCATTGAATGTGCACCTTTATTTCTCAAATGAGAAGCTTCAGTAGTGTCTTCCATCACTATGCTATCTCTGATTTTAGAAGAGAGATCTATCTCTTCCTCCATAAAATTGTAAAAGATTTTGAGCCTCCTGCTTTTTGCAGTTAACTCATCCTTTGCCCTCCCTCCTTTTTCTTTATTCTAGCTGAAGCCATTCACTTATTCCAGGTGCTGTTAATGGCAATTTCCGCTTTAGTTGTGTAAGAAAGGTACCATATTATCTATATAAGCACCTATATTGCCATGCTACTCGGAGGTCTTGCTATCATCCCTCCAGTGCAGTGCCAACTGCCAGCACCAAGGATATATCTAAAGGGGAATGCAGTGATGGATGTATGACCTGCAATCCTGATGCTTTGAATTCCTCAGTAGCCTAGCATGATGCTTGCATTCGGATTCTATGCCGAGTAATAGCTTGATGCCATGATGATAGAGTGAATTTCTTAATGTTCTATGAGAATTAAGGCTTGCTGTCCAGTTTTCCGAGATCTTTTGAATTCGTGATGTTTGGGATTTCAGCGTTTACAACAACCTGCATCAGCCAAGTAAGTTGGTGGTGGGAGCTGACCTCCACTGTTTCAAGAATAAAGTGGAGCCAAAGTGGGAGGACCCCGTCTGTGCAAACGGGGGGAAGTGGACTGTAACTTTCTCCAGAGGGAGGTCAGATACGTCCTGGCTGTACACGGTATGCCTTCTGCCCCCAGATGACTGAAGCTGTTTGAATTTTCTATAGGCGTGGGCTCGGCTTGACACATGCTTATGTTCCTGTGTAATAGTTACTAGCAATGGTTGGTGAACAGTTTGACCATGGAGAAGAGATTTGTGGAGCAGTCGTCAGTGTCAGAGCTAAGCAAGATAAGATAGCTTTATGGACTAGAAATGCTTCAGATGAGGCTGCCCAGGTAGTTTCTTCTTCAAGCCAGCTCTAGTTCCAGTCATTTAGTGGCAAGCAGCAAACTGGCGTGCGAATATCTTCGCCCCCTCCGCTCGGACATTACTTGCATTAGCCTGGCCTTTTGCAGATGAGCATTGGGAAGCAGTGGAAGGAGTTCCTCGACTGCAGCCAGAACGCGGGGTTCATCTTTCACGTGAGTTTCGACCGATTGGAGCAACTCGTGTCTTTTTTGCCTTTTAGAAGTCTTTAGTCCGGTCATGTCGTGCAATCTGTGCGACTGAATCTCCTGGATACTATCACAGGAGGATGCCAAGAAGCTTGACAGAGCCGCCAAGAATCGCTACACGGCATGAATAAAATGTCCGTATTGGATGCAGCTACAGGAAGTAAATGCCTTCGCTCCGTCGCCTTACCAATCATTTGTACAGTGCTGGTGATATGGGTTAGGTTGTTCCCAAGTTTATAACAATCTAGGCTGACTAACAAGTACATCTCTTAAAGGGACAATCCTGTTAATACGCTGGGGTATTACTGCAAAATTTCTCGGAAAATTTTCGATCCGCGAAAGATGTCAACACATCTCAAATCGAACACAAAGTAGAACAAACCCCCACTAGCAATTGAATCAGTAAGCGCTTTGACTCAAAATCCATCTCATCTACTTTTCAGCTCGTTCCATGTTCTCATCAGACTGCGTGATCTTAGCCTTCTAGAGGACAAATCTTCTTGCTTGGTCATAGTTCTAGGACTGAATCACCACAGCTCTTATATGCTCTGCAGGTAGATTACTACCTCTTTTCTATGGTTATACAAAAAAAAAATAGAGGACAGTCAGATGCTGATACTTATGAATGAAAATTATGAGTCACTTCATCGAAGGGCCAATACATCATTCGCGTTACCGTACGCCAAAGTTTCAATTTATACACCGCACGACACGCTTTTCTCAAATCAGTCACAACACAAGACATCCAACAAACAAGCTGTCCCTAACATGTAGCATTTTGCTAAATAAATAATCACCAAACCACTACTACCTCTGTATTTCCACCAGAAAAGGAATTGATTTACAGCAACATTTTAGCTCTATTGTTGCTCAAAGAGGTTATAGCAATTGAGAAAAAACACAAGATCAGCTGCAACCCCATTGGAACTACGAATGTCGGCTACGAAAGAATCTCACCCTCCTCCCCAATCAAAATTTTGTCATCGTCGTCGTCTTCCAAAAACTCGTCCTTTATAAACAAGCCTAAGCGCTCCAGCGGATTCCTATAGTGAGCCCCATCAAACACTCCTGATACCACTTCAGATCCATCATCAACATCAGCAAGACGAGGTGATGAACCGGAACACCCACTCAACATCTCCAGTTCCTTCAGAATCTTGAGATTTTCCTCAAAGTCGACAGTCTTTTCCATCTGGACGCAGTTCACACCCGTCAGCGTCGAACACAAATACTTTCTGAGTTTTGACCACACATGAAGAAACAAGTCGAAGAGTAAAACCTTTTGAAGTGCAATTCGAGCAGCTTCCCTGTCTCTCTCCCTTTGCTTTCTGGCTTCAGCCTCTGCTCTCATTCGCTCAGCAGCTTCTGCTGCTCTGATCTGAGCTTCAATCCTTGCTTTTTCTGCATTGAAAGATCACAAAAATGTTAATCACCACAATACGAGTTTTGGAACAGCAATTAAATTCCAATTAACTGTTCTAATTCCAATATCCGTAATGAACAAAAATAACTACGACATTAAATGCCAAAACCAAAAGCAACATATTTGGGGATTACATTATCTGAAGTCCATGGAAAATAGACTGACAAAGGTTTGCATGTTCTCTCTACGAAAATAAAGTTCAGACCTATCGTGGCAGCAGAATAGTCTTGTGGAAAGAATGTCTGTCAAGGAAAGAAGAGTTTTCTCAAGACCAGGGTATCATGGGAAATTGAGTTGTCCAGCTACCCACCGAGTTAGCTTAATCAACAAGAGGTCTCACATCATTATTTGACAGCCAAAAATTGATGACTCATTTGATCATTTGATCGATCAGGATTTCGCATCAGTATTATTACGCCAACAATTACTTGACCAACAAAAATTACCAATCATTGTATAAGAATGAAGTGATTGATGGAAGTGCCTAATGCTGCACTCATGAAGTATAAGCAGTCCCAACAATAGTTCTCATCGCTGCTTCTTCGTAAACTTCCCATTGTTCGTAATTTTTTACTTCCGTTGACACCTGTGCTGTGTCCCAATGCTATATCTTTTTTAACATCTTTTCATCTACTGACTGGCACATTAATCATAATAAATTGTTGGTAGTAATGAACTAAATTAGTACAGTATTATTGCTGTGAAAGCAATCCCATTGAAACACGTCACTAAATTTGTGTTAACTTTACATTACATTTCACCATTCATGATCACAGGCAAAACTAATGCCGAATACATTGTCTCAGGCCAACCAATGGCAGCAGAACATTCATTTTCTTTTTTTGCCCCAAGCGACACCGCAGTTATTGAGAAACAAATCTACAAGAGCCTTATCATGATTCTCCAACAAAACTTGTTCGCACAGCCAGAGGATCAGCATCCTTAAATCAACGAGCTATTATACATGCAACTGAGTTAGAAGAATCGTCTGATTCTCTAAACCTCCCCTGCAGGATGGTGATATGGAGGAGAGAGAAGACACACCTTATTCGATACAAGGTGAAAAGGAATAATTTGCTAAAATCTTGCTTTTCTTTCTGGTTAACAGGTCGATTTGTAGTAGTGATTGTACATAGCACATTAACAATCAAAATAAGGTCAGAAGAAACAAAATCTAAACCAGAACAGGGATATGCTGACAGTAAACACTAAAGAGAACCATTTGATCGACCTCATTCCTACAAAACTAAGCTCTCCAACAACAGTGTCCACAGATGAGGTCAATTTTCATGGAAAACGGGGAGACCTCAGCAAACGATGTGATCTGCCACTACAGAAGATGATGAGGAAATCAGCTCATCGTTTGCACTTCGCTATTGACTTCTTGAAAAAGAGACTGTCTATGAAAAGTACTGCCTTTGGTAAAATGGGTTTGCAGAGGAACCTAAATCTTTGGGTAATTGCAGCAAGCCAGCAGAAACCTAAACAACTTCAACTTTTCATTTCGAAGTTGGATAGATATTAAAGAGCTTAGAGGTCGAAATTTCTTTTGAAGGATAGATGGTTTCAAACTTTGAACTTTGAGTCTTCATTAGTAAACTACTTTTGTTTTCCTAGAACAATTATCTCGCCAGCGATTAATCACATATTCCTTATTTCCCCACAAAGAAGATTCTTTACCTCTCAAAGAAAGATTTGTATGATCATTAAGCTGAAACTATCCTCCATCTAGTGAAAGAAAAATACACTAACAAGAATTCGTCCATTTGACCTTGACAAAGAAAAATCCATGACTTCTAGTAGGACTAATGGAAAGCACCCCAGTAAAGTAGCTCCCTATCATTGGATAACTCTACCAACGCTCATGGAACCCATAATGACAATAGCCATAAAGCCTAATCTCAATTCAAGTGCATTAGAAGGTCCGTGAAGCCTTCAAGGTGCAAACCAGAGCAGTAGTAGACAGAGATATTGCCAATGATTTAGCCAAAAGTTAAGAGTGGAAATTTCATATTGATTAGAAAAATCTCTTCTTGAAGGAATTTCAGCATTGGACCAGACCTCCCTGGCTCAGTCACCAACTGCCAGACCCCACACAGGTTACTGATATCACTCAAGATCTAGCCAGCATTAATTCATCAATCCCATCATAATCCAAGGAGCAAGGCGAGAGATGCAATTACAAATTTAATACAGTATGCAGTCAGCTCCCTTGGGTCAAAACTTGATCAATACAAGGCTCCTACAATGCTTGCCAAATTGACTTCCATGGTAATGGCCACAAAGACAGACTTAACTGAATCCTTTTAAGGATCTATATATCCAGTTTTGAGTCTGAAGTTACCACACTCAATCTGAAAGGGGTAACATCGACCCAACTTCTATAAGCTCTTCAGCTGAAATTACTAAACCAACAACCACAGGCATGAACGATGCAAACAATAACCCAAGCTCTGCTGCTCGATAGAGAAAAGTGTTCACAAAACACAATAAAAAAACACAATGCTGCTCAAGAATTCAAATCGAACTAGCCAATTGCTTTTCTACTTTGTGACCTTACCATATATATCAAAATTAACTTGCTTGAACACAACAGAAATCATGAGAGAGGAATTCGGAGCAAATAGAGAGAAAAGTTTAAAGAGTAAATCTAGTTCCCCGCTCATGTGAGAGTATTTGCAAAAGATTTGCACATATGTCTTAGGGAAGAAATATAACAATAGGTTAACTTTTTTATCACCTTCGCGCTGCCTTCTCTCTAATCTTTCCTTCTCCTGTTGCATCTTCACAGGATCTGCCTTATCGCACTGTAATTACAAAAGGCATGTATGAAACAACTGTTATGATACACTTCATATAACATCATCTACTACCAACAAACAAAACACATACCTGATCCAGTAGTGTTTTCTGTTGCGCCTTTAAGATGGTGTCAGCAAAGCGACTCTTTAACATTGCAGCACGCAGGGCCTTTTTAGGTGACAGCGGTATGTCAAGGAGAGAAGCACTCCACCCTGATATAATGTCATTATGGATCATTCTCCTGCTTTCTTGAATGGTCAAAATATATCTCAACCGAACGATTCACGACATACTAACCTTCCCCACATGTGGCATCCGTAGATGGAATTGCAAGGTGGGAACTAGGACAGACATTTCCATCGTCCACAGTACTTACAGCTCCTTTTGAGTATTTCCAGAAGCAAATTGAATGAACGTTGTAACATCGAACAACTTCAAACATCACAAATCCGAAAGATGCACTTACCATCAGAATCTGGATCAGATTTACTGGCCTGCACCACAGACGAGCTCCTAGCCTAAAATTGCAAGTTCAGGTAGCAACTTTCAGCACTAAATCAAAAGGCATACGAACGGAACTGTTCAACTTATAAAAAAGAAATACTCTAAAATCTAGATATACCGATCTTGGAGCATCAATAGTAAATTCGTGATCTCGGTCCTTCTCTGAAGGTAAATCCAAAAGGCCAACAAACATAAAATCAGTACTCCGTAGATACCAAAATAAAAGTTCCTAAAATGGAGACAGCAAAAGAAGATTATTTACCCATTGAAGATGCAGAAGCTGGTCCAGCAACGCTGCATCGGCACGTTGTATTGCCACATGCATTACACTTGGAGCGGCAAGCATGTCCACTAGCACCATCAGTGCCTATATGACACACTGGCAATTAGCTCTAGAAGAGAGCTACAAAAGCAGAAATTATACTCTGCCACTTCATTACCTTTGTCGTTATTTCCTAATGACTTGGTTGTGCAACTCTGTGCAACTTTAGAAACCTTAATCTGCTCAAGAACCAGTTAACCACACATTAATATATTTATGGTAGAATAGATGCAAACCACAGTCGACAAATCTAAACAACAAATACAATCTGCCGGTACTGACTAATGTTTCCCAGTTGACTCAAATTTTGGAAAATAATGTCTCACCTTTAATAAAGTAGTAGCATCACAGTTCTTCTTTACCATATCTCCCGTTTGCATCCTATTTTGAGGCACACTGGTGCACTGAGGAGGTGTATTGGGACCGTTTTGTCCCACGGCACTGCTTTCTCTACTTTGTCTACTCAATGCGGATCCCTTCACTATTCTAGTTTCTCCATTGCTCCACTTTGCCTCAAGAGCTTTCCATCCCGTCTCAAAGATCTTATTCAACATATCTGCCATTATATGTACCTGATTGCCGGGTGGATTGTAGCACATGGCATTAGAAAAGGTCAACCTAATATCAGCCGCAAATTCTTCTGTTCCACGATACATATTTTTCTCGAGCTTAGATTTTATTGTCCCTAAATCCATTGGCTCTGATATGATTGAGAAATAATCCGGTATGTTTAGCTTTACTGGATCGACCGGTTGCTTGAAAGGCCAACCACATTGATGATTCATTAGTCTCCTTAAAATGGCAGAACATTGTTGCGTAACAGCCCGATCCATCCTTTGTCTCTTCTTTGCAACTTCAAACTCTACTTGAGGTCCACGCTTATTAGCACCAGAGACGGAACTTCCAAACTTCGCATCAGCCTCGCTTTCAGAAGGCAAATCGCCATTCTTCTCCTTACCATTCACAGCGCCAGAAGTCCAATCATCAATAAGCAGATTCTGCTGCCCATACCCACATGATCTGGATTGGGGTTCTGCTTCGACTCTTCTTCCGGAAAACTTAATCTTCACCTTCTTGACAACTACACTTTCCGTCGCAATCATCGTGAGGCACTAGAAAACCCCTTTAGAACGAATGATTGGCTCTTCTTCTTCTTCGGGACTACGACAATCAGCCTCCTCCTCAACAAGAAATCATGCTGTTCGACATACCGGGACCGGGACTGAGAGAATTGGAAAGCCAAACAAGGAAAGAGAAGAAGAAGTAAAATTAATGGCCCGCGAAAACAATTTCGAAACCCTAACCTAACACAAAAACAGAAATAGCAATCACCGAGTCAAAAAAAAAACGCTAAACTGAAGAACAAGAGGCCAAAACTGATTGATCCCGGAAAGAAAAAAATCGGCGGGCACGACACCCAAGAGTCCAACCACCAAAAAGAAGGGCCCGAACCCACGAGTAAGAGCATCGAAGTCGAGTTCACTCGCACCCACCACAAGAACTTCGCCCTAATTTCCTTCACCAGTAGGACGAAAACGCAGCCGAGAGACCAAAAAAAAAACAACACAACACCCACCCATCAAAATCCGCCCGCCGCGCTCGCTACGAACAACAACAGAAACTCCAGCGGTTACCAAATTCCAAAACCCACCATCCCCCTTTCCCCGCCAAAATTTCTCGCCGCCCTCCCTCCGTTAACCAAAAACCGGGACCGAGCGCCACTCAACAAAAAAGGGCGAAAGCAAGAAGCCGCAAAGGACCGAAAAGCGCGAGATCTAGGGAGGGGGGGGCTTTCGCGCGACGGGACGAAACTCACCGAATCGGCAACGAATCCGCGGGCCGCCGGGAGGGGGGGACCGGATCCGGTCACGGCATCGGGGGCTCCACCCACCCCCGCACCACCCAAGAGAGAGGGGGGGCGGCCGGCCGGCGAGCCTCCTCCGCCGGGGAGCCTCGTCGCGATGGGGGGGCCGGAGGGGGGGTTTAGGGCAGCGAGGGGTTTCAGTGGGAGAAGGAAGGGGGGGGGAGGGAGGAGAGAGAGAGAGAGCCAAGACAAAAAAACCGAGGTTTTGCCCCTCCTCTTTTTAGGGTTTCTTGGTCGCCCCCCGCTCTGTCCCTCTCTCTCTCTACATGCCCGTGACGATATTTCTGGCCGACGGCGCTGACGTCATATATTTTGCTCTCCCTCTCGCTCTCCTCCTTTTTCTCAATATATAATTTTGTTTTTCGCTCCCCCTTTTTTGTTGTTTTTGTTTCCCCGATTTGTTTTTTTTTGTTATTATCTATCGGGAGCTCCGCAAACGCGGAGTGGTCCGGCATGTGAAGTTACGCAAACGCCCCTCCGCGCCCGCGGTTCCTCCAGGGGCGGATGCGTAAATTCGGCTAGGCGGCGCCCCGGGTTGGGCGGCGGTGAGGAGTTTCACTCCAACACTCAAAGCTTCCGAGCTTATAAACAGGAGCTAAAGGAATAAAGAAGATATGTGCGTCGGTATTTGTTTTATAATTCATTGACTACTTTCAAGAGAATTTGAAATATGAATAAATATATATTGAATAAGATATAACTATAAAAAAAAATTTCAAAATATCGATTGTACAACAAATCACGATGCATGGACAATCGTGAAACTTTCCCTAGTGTTGATCTGCTTTGAAAGGAAAACCCGTTTAAGTGGAAAGACCGAGTTCGCATAACCGTAACGTAACGAGGGAAACGGGTTTCTGAAAAGGTCCGTATAATAAGATAACTGACGGGAAACTAGGAACTATAATAGGAAAAACGATATCTTTGCTGATCTGATAAACAAGGTGCTTCGTCGATGAGCATCGGCGGCGCGTTGATTCCCCTCGGGGAAGTAAAGCGCGAGAGCTCGGTCTCTCCCAAATCAAGTTCAGTAGTGACCTGCATTTGTTGATCGATTTTAGAATAATCCTCTCTTTTTTTTCCCCAAAAAAACCAATTTTTATAACTCATTATCTGTTAAAACTATATTGTGCTATTTTTTCCGGACAAAGATAGCATATAAAAATATATCGTACCTAGAGATCATACCTGTGTATTTTTCTAAAATATGATTTACCATTGAAATTGGAAGATTGGCGATTCTATATATATTTATAATATATTTGTACAGTGCATGTCGTGCAGTCCCTACTCTCACACTCTATTTTATTTTTTATTGTCTTTCCCCTTTTTTTTAAACTTTTTTGCTCCGCCAACTCTGACTTTTCATTCTCGTTTTCCAGTCCATCCCCCTTTTTGTTTTTTGGAAAAATGATGCCATAAACATTGGTCTAGTGTACATTGTGACATGAACTTTTAATTTATTCAATATAATTCATGAATTTCAGTCCAACATGTAATATGATCCATGAACTATTAATTTTTTTAATACAGTTCATGAAATTTTTGTACATATTCAATTTAGTCCACAAACTATATGAAAATATTTTCATATGGTTCGGGGACTCCACTGAATGGGCACAAGAGTTCGAGAGCACATTAAAAAATTAAAAGTTCAGAGACGACATTCAACATTAGACTAAAGTTCATGGACCACGTTGCACATTGGGCCAAAGTTTAAAGACCATTTTGTGTCGTTATCCCTTGTTTTTACGCTTATTTTTCCTGTATTTTTACCTTTTTCGCTATTCTATGTAATTATTTAGTCCATTCACTAATGCATAATTTATGTAGTTTTTAGATTCTTTTTTCTGTTTCTTTTCTTAATAATTATTTCTGATCGAACCTTCCTTATTAATTTGTTCATTCCAAAATGTTACATTTTTCCAATACATGTTGAGAACTCTTTTACGTGAATCCTATATAAGACTTGCACTTCATGTACCATACATCTTACACGATTAATCGAACCATGTCCATGTTTTGTTTGAATTTCTACTTTTACGAATCTTTCCTATTCCTGCTCTAACTTTATTTTTTTCTATTTTCTTTTATTTCCTCCTCTTCTTCTTTAATTGACTATTAGTAAATACCCTATGTACTATGTAGTATTTCTGCGAATACGTATATGTCTATTTTAATTAATATCCTACATAGCGTGTCCACGATTAGCATCTCCATGATTACATATGAATACCTAGTGTAATGCATCCGCTATGCGAAAAACATGGCTCGAACCCAATGCCGAATTTTCACATTTTGAATTTATCTTAATTATGTTCAAATTATAATTATGTAGAGCTCATCGCAATGTGGATTTGAATTATATCATTGGAAGTCAATCTTAATGAAATATAAAAATTAATAATATTTAAATTGGCTATTTATATCAATGGCTAATTCCAAAAAAAAAAAACACCAACTTTATCTTGAATTACAATTCTGGGATGAACTTTATTTTGTCTCGATAAAAAGCACCAATTTATACTCGAGTCCCAGACCTGGCTCCCATGATGTGAAATTTTCAAATTATTCGGACCAAATTTGAGATTTAAGTGAAAGTTAGTGATGTTTAATGAGGCAATAAAAATTCGAGCCATAATTATCACTCAAAGTCAAATTTGTGCCTTTAATTGAATATAAAATTGTGCTGGTTAGTTGGACATCATTAACAAAGATATCATCTTCAATTTTACATGCTTAACTCGAGTTTAGTATATTCACACAATGTAATTGTTGTAGCGCCGTACTAAAAGGAAATAATTACCAAAAAAGTGTCATAATTTATTGTACTGATGCCAATTCAATTTTAAATTTTTTAGTTTGATCAGTTTAGTACTAAATCGCTTAACGATTTGCCAATGTAGATTTTCCAGCCAATTTTGGCATGATATCTTTGGCGTGGACAATTTTTGCACTTTTTAAAAAGATTATGATTTTTTTATTTTTTTATTTTTAGAAAAAAGGAAAATTGCAAAAAATTATAAAAATTGTCCACGTTAGCGCCGATCGTGCCACGTAAGACTGCCAACATCCACTCTAGCGATTTCGAGCCAAAATTAGCCAAAATAATTACATTGGCAAATCACCAAAAAATTTAAGACTAATTTGGTCAAATTAAAAAGTTTAGGACTGAATCGTCAAAAGATTTAAGATCAAATTGGTCAAAATTGACCAGAAGAATTTCCGCGAGTACGTATATGCCTTTTTTTTTTTTGTAATCATCCCTACTAAAAGTCGATATTTTTTTAACAAAAAAAAGTTTTGCAGAAGAATTAAAAAAAAGTCAAATTAGAAAACTGGAACAACAAAGAAAGAGACTCCGGAGAAAAGGAGAGAGAGAGAGAGAGAGAGCACAACGTGGGTGGGGAATCCCACATCCTCGGAGCGGGTGAAGGCTGTCTGGGGAGTGTCGGCCACCGTATCCAGGTGTTATGGAAATTGACCAAAATTCATTAAAAGAATAATAATCATGACTTGATTGCACAAATTTAAATATTTAGGATTCGATTGCACGTTATGCCACGCGTTTATAAGTTTTGTTATTCGGTTTACCAAATCATCGATGTGGCAAAACTTCGAGAGGGTGATTGCCAAAATCTACGCCTATAATCAATCTAGGTCTCTTAATCAATCGAGCACATAATAGCAGTGAGGATATGAAAGTTGAGCTAGAGAAAGGTGTCGGGTTCATGTTGTGCGCGCTCTCGAGAGAGAGAGAGAGGATGCGCTCGCTCTCAGTTTCATTCATTGATTGAAGATTCTACGCAACTTGCAGCTGCAATATGCACGGGCCTTTCTGCTTAGTATACATGAGGAATTGGCTCTGCTACGTTAGTCCGTCTTTCATCTATGTATTTTTTTTTTTTTTGGTAACCCGGGAACCCCCCGCACGGCCGACAGCCGAGGAGGTAATTAAACCCGGGGTGACGCTAGCGCAGGACCCACCACCACGGCGTCACGCTTAAGAATCCCTAACGCCAGCGCTGGGATTCGAACTCCTACCCTTTGTGGGGGGAGGGGAGCCCGAAGCCAGCGCAGCCGCTGAGGGCGGTGGTCTTTCATCTATGTATTATTCATCAGCTTCTCCCGAAAATCCGGTTTTTAAGGCGTTGGTTCTATGCTTGGATCGGACCAAAAACGTCTCAAAATGCTTCCCGAAAATACTATCGAGCATCGACAGAACGTCGAACACCACGAGATAGATCGATACAGATTTCGAATTTGGACAACTTCAGCCACACAAGAGAACCGAAACCGATACAAAGATCGGTCCCTGGCTGCGCATGTGATCTTCTCAGGCGCTCGAGTTCATCAGGGGCTCTCTCAGCTGCTCTGTGGATGCACTCTTGTAGGAGAAGTACAATGCCAGCTGACTTATTCCCAGGATCGTCCCGATTCCGTTCGGAAACTGTACATAATACCGGAAATGTCAGATCCTTTCCCCGATCGCAGCGGCTGAATATGCAGGATATCGCGAAAACAGCAGGAAGTGAATTGGTATGACGGAGATGGGAACTCACGTAAATGAATGGATCGGCTTTGAGCAATCCGTAAGCGAGGAAAGAGAGGCTCGTCAGAGAGGTCGAGAAAGAGAGATAGAAAGGCATGTACTCGACGCTCCTCGTCCTGATCACCAACTTCTGCAAAAGAAAAGCCGATCGTGGGGAATTAGGAATCGTGCCGTTTGATGTCGGTTCGCACGACTACTTCGATGGACTTACGATGATGAAGAGGGGCGACACGAACATGGAAATAATGGAAGCGACACTTAGGTACCCGACGAAAATCTGCCGCGAGCGCAAATCGGGGAACTGCAAGCTTACGAACACCACGGCTAGGAAGAGCATAAGTACTGATATGCTTAGTCCCAACATCTTCAGCTGTAGCAGTCACCAAGAAATCGGTAAGAGTCACGCAGAAGCAGCAGAACATATATCGACCGAGCAATGCCCAGACGAAAATCTTTTCGATAGATCAGCACGTAACGGATGCAACAGGCTCGATCGATCATAAACCCGACAACATTTAAACAGGTTTTTCCGAGGTGTGATTGGTCGGATCTATTAGACTTAATTTGGGGGATTAATCTCTCGTGGGGGCGAGCAATTTACCTTCTTGGCTTTACTGGCATACGCGATGAAGACGATTAAGTAGGACGCCTGGAAAACAACCCCGATCGCATTGACGGTCGCGATCATTATAACGCCGGGCGACACGAGTGGCAAGCCGTACCACAGACATATCAAGCAATTCAAGAGCGTGTATAGGTAAGGCGATCCCGAGAACTGCTCGGTGGACCGGTTACGAACAATCCTTCGAAATGTCGGTCTGCAGGTCATCACAACCAATGTTTGCAGTGAATCGAAATTATCGGAATCATATCCATAACTGAAGTGCTTATTATGTTAACAGCTTACATTGGGGACATGAACAGTACGAGGGCGAAGACGTTTCCTGCGATTCACGCCGAGAGAAATTAGAGACAACGAATTCACAATTCATATTAGTCTCGATCGAAATGGCATCTCGGAGGGGGGCAATTGTTTCCAGTACAAATGATTCGGTTGCAGATGCACGGAGTGCCCACAAATTAGCAGAAGAGCAATTTGCTTTCCAATTCAAACTACTTAAAACAAGTAGGAACCCGAGATTTCTCTAGTGTTCATCATGGAAGCAGAATGAACCAACAGATCTAATCTAGGATGACCCGCCAGAACTCTCGGAGATCACATTCGCATCGATCGATTCATGAAGAGAGGAACAATCTAAAGCCGAAACCCTCTTTGTAATTCAATTTTACACAATGCGATTTCCCCACATCATTTCAGTTCTATCAGCCTTTTGATCAACTCCCTACCAGTAGTAGCAAAAGAAGGTTTTATAGAGTAATAGATGAAGTGAACCTCGTGCATATGTACCTGCAACTCCTGCTGCATCGCTGCATATGGAATTTGCAGAGAGACCCGAATTGGACAGCATCTACGCAAATATCCACCTCTCTCTCTCTCTCTCTCTCTCTCTCTCTCTCTCTCTCTCTCTCTCTCTCGTGTGTGTGTTTGTACATAAATTGCACAAGGAAAAAGCATTTATACACAAAAGTTCTCATGTTTCCTCAGGCGACAAGAGTGACGAGAACGTTTCTCTTGGATGTTTGTGGGCACTTCTTATTATTATGGCTGTGGATGAGCAATCGCTCAGTGCGGACGTGGGACAACTGCTCCGTGACATATGCACCACAAATTAAAAGCTACACTACCAGAAAAAAAGCATCTTTAACATGAATCCTGAAGCCAATAATTCCTTTTTCTCGTGTGTGTTGCACGTTGTTGGACTATAAGTAGTGCTTTAAATGAGTGGATCAGACTCGACAACCAGGAGCAAGTTGCTTAGAAACCATTCGATATAATCGTGGCCGAACTAAGATTGCGATGCACAGTAATTGTGATGCGAAGTCTCGGGACTTATATGTTTGGTAATATATGTTTGGTAAGCTGCAATACCTTCGAACTAGATGAAGTAGCTTCTTAAGAATCGTTATAAACCATCGCTGTTTTGGCAAACACCCGGTAAAAGCCGCAATACCCATTTTCACGGCAAGAACTGGTTTGGGTTGGTTGTACCGAATTACATCTTAGTAAGCCATCTTAGTAAATTCATTCTTCTATGGAAGATTATGTCATTTTTGGTGAAAGCCATTGAGGGGATAACTTCAAATTGAGCCACTTCGGATTGGCACAAGCTCAAGGGGCAAGTCACCCACCACAAAACTAGTGCTTCAATAGCCATTAATATCCATGATTCCCACATCAATTAAGCCATTTATTTCACGTGCTTCTCCGTAAATGGCTTCCTCATTTCTCAACCACTTGAATGATTGGCCCCATGCATCATGGATATTAATGGCTAATTGAAGCACGATGCGACAACACAGTAAGTTTTGAAGATGATGAAGAGGAGGAGGACCGACGACGGGCATTGTCGACCTAAGGACCACATAAGCAAACATTGTTTTTTTTTTTTCCGAATAATTATTCATTAAACAGAAAATATAGTATAGGTATTATAATTGCCAACCAATTGAATGAACGTTGAACTTTACATCCTGCGTATTTGATAACTATATTCATCTGTGGATGATAAGTAGTGCAATTATAATAATTACATCCGTTCCGTTTCGAGTTCTCAAAGTATAATTTTTCTTCCTTTCTTAATCACGAATATATCAATCCCCTATGAGATTCGAACTTGCCGTTCGTTTTGTGGACGACGTTTCCCAATCATTTTATCCATTACCCTTTTGGGTTACTGTTATCAGCTTTGGTGTTGCGTTTTGACGATAATGAATTGTGAATTTTTTTACGTGGTTTCGAGTATATCCGGAGCTAGCTTTTTATTGACAATGAGTGTTCAGGCCTCTTGCCTCCTATTTTCCTCTAATTTTAGTAAATAAAATTGTATTTTGGGACACTGTTGTGATCTTAATGAAATGAATTCTCGATCGTTTGCTGACAAAGGACAAAATACGTGTTGTGATGAAAAATACGTGTTGTGATTGCAATGAAATCACTCAAACCTTTTTGTGAGATATCTTAATATATACTAGAAATACGTTTTACAACACTTTACCCTTTGAATTTAATGGAAAAAAAGGCTTTTAACTCTCACAAAACGTTGCAAAATACAATTTCTTTTTAATCTCCAAGTGAAAATGCCGTAAATACTAAAATTTTCCTTTTCTGGGGTTTTAAAACGTTATGCAGAAATCGATTAGTTAATAATAAATATAACAAAATGGGTATTTATTTAATCTCACGACATCAATATATTAGAAATGGTTAATAATTATTTCACCCACCCATCGGTGGCCGCGTTGGTTTGCGCTCAGTTCCTTTCACGAGAGGTCTTAGGTTCAAACTTGCCCATCGGTGATTTAAGTGGGGGGTCGTGGCGGTGGGATGCTGCGCTAGCCCCCCTCGAGGACTAGTCGGGCATCACCGCCGATTTGAGCCCTAGCTCGCCGGTCGCGCGGACACCTCGGTTATAAAAATAAAATAAAATATATATATATATATATATATATATATATATATATATATATATATATTAGAAAAAAATAATCAAGCACAAAAACCCATTTCGAAGGAAAAAAAGAAAAAAGAAAAAAAAAAGACCAAAGAAATTAGAAAAAAAAAAATCCCTTTTTACCAACACGATTTCGCACTACCGCCAAAAGCTCAAAAGTTTCCCGCCTTCCTTCCTTCCTTCGCCGTCGCGGCAACGCTGCACCCGCCATAGATTGGAGCGTTAGAGCTCTCTCTCTATCTCTCTCTCTCTCTCTCTCTCTCTCTCAAAACTCTGATAGGGGAGGAAGAAAGAAAGCTTCGGGAGAGAACAAGAGATATGGGGATACAGGGTCTCTTGCCGCTGTTGAAGTCGATCATGGCGCCGGTCCACGTGAGGGAGCTGGAGGGCTGCTCGGTCGCCGTCGACACCTATTCCTGGCTCCACAAGGGCGCTCTCTCTTGCAGCAGGGAGCTCTGTAACGGGTTGCCCACCACCAGGTCAGTCTCGCATTCCCCCTGAATTTATCACGTTTCTTGTCCGTGATCGGAAATGGGATGATGGGTCGTCTTTTCCCCGGTTTGATATGCACTACACATCACGAACGGAAGAAACCCTTTTCTTCTCAATCGGTTTGGAGTTCATGTGGGTTCTTGTGAAATTCGAGGGGAGAGGAAATGAAGGAAATTTGATGATTGCCCTTTTGATCTGAGTGATTAGTTCGATTGGTCTTAGCTATCTATACAGAAAGCGGTATAAGTTGGCTCAATTTGAAGGTGACTTGTCTCATCTACTTTTTCTGCCTCGTGAGTTTGGTGGCCAGAAGTGCTATGGTTGGTAATTGGGTGTCGTAAGAAAGTGAAGTTCTTGAATCTGAAATTGAAAGATGGCCAATCGGCGACTTTTCCCGTTTCGACTTTATGCTTGAGCAAGAATGTTCAGTGCGTCATGAAATTAGCTGTGAGAGATATGCAGCCGGAAAATTTTTGTATTTAGTATTGCTCGCAATAAACACATCAAGTGCCATGGTTTAGTTAGTTCTAGATGTCCTACTTTATTCACGCTTCAGTGGTGTTTGATTCTCAGGCACATTGAGTACTGCATGCGCAGAGTGAATTTGCTCCGGCATTATGGAGTAAAACCAGTTCTTGTTTTCGATGGAGGTCTCCTACCGATGAAGATTGAACAGGAGAACAAGCGTGGAAGGTATGTTTTTTTAGCTCTTCAGCAGAATCATTTACATTTAAATTCAAATCCAAAATTTTCAATTGTTTTTTCGAATCTTTAGTGTGTTCACTTGTCTACTTATGTTATTGGTTTAGAGCAAATCTTAAACAATAAATAGTGTTTCCTTTGTACAAGATAGGAGCCTCTCCTCCCTCAAACGTTAGAGCCTATCTAAATAGAATTAAACTTCTGTTTGTCTAGGCATCCCCTCTTCACTTTTTTATGTGACCCAAGTTCCTAAATATCCAAATTGGAAGGGCTCGGTCAATGACTTCTGTTATTTTAGGGAAGGTCCAGATGTTTCCAAGTTTTGTAATCATGTGTAGAGTCACTAAAGAACTAGAACTACTTTGCTTACGTAGGTCCAGGAAGGAAAATCTTGCTCGTGCTATTGAGCATGAGTCAAATGGAAATCATGCTGCTGCTTATGAGTGCTATCAAAAAGCAGTAGACATCACCCCTTCCATGGCACACGAGCTAATCCAGGTATGAAGAATACAATGTGTGGTTAAAGTAAAGTTCATTGCTGAGGAATTTATCACGTCTTGATTGGCATGGTTGCTTGCGGAAGGTCTTAAAGCAGGAGAGCATTTCTTATGTTGTTGCCCCTTACGAGGCGGATGCTCAGATGACTTTCTTGGCAGTCAGTAAACAGGTCGGTGCTGTGATCACAGAGGATTCAGATCTTATACCATTTGGCTGTCCCAGAGTAAGTTATCCAGTAGCTGCTTCTTGCTATATCTTAGGCATTACAACACGCAACCACTAAGCAAATTATAACATTTTTGACCCACTTAGTGTTTTCTGTGGTTGTATATATTTAATTTTTCAGATAATCTTCAAAATGGACAAGTTTGGCGAAGGTGTTGAGTTCCAGTACTCCAAGCTACATCAGAACAGGGAGCTCAGTTTTGTTGGATTTACTAAGCAGATGGTTCTTGAGATGTGCATATTGAGCGGGTGTGACTACTTGCAATCACTCCCTGGCATGGGTTTGAAAACAGCGCATGCACACATCAAAAAATTCAAAACTTATGATAAAGTGAGCATTCATTTTGTTATATGTTTTTCTATCACTTTCTTTGTAACTCTCCAACATGCATTGGATACAGGTGATTAAGCACTTGAAATATACCGGTGTTTCAGTTCCTCCAAGTTATGAAGAATTATTCCAAAAGGCCATTTTGACTTTCCAGCATCAACGGGTCTATGATCCGATTAATGAAGCCATTGTATATCTATATGATATATCGAATGTTGCTGATGATGAGTTGGAGTTTCTAGGACCATATCCTTTTTATGGAACTAATTTGGATATTTAGTTTATTATATTAGCTTGTTATGGATAATATGCAATTTAAACAAAACCTTAACTGGAAATACATCAATACCGCAAGATGTGGCCAGAGGTATTGCAGAAGGGGATCTCGATCCATTTACCAAAGTTCCATTTCAGGTATAATATTTATTCATTATGTTTGTTTTGCACTTCTCTTCTCCTCTTCAGATTTCTTCTGAAGTGCCTAAAACTACTGGATTCCTGTACATTTAAGGAATATAATGCCATAAATACCATTCCCCTATATTCAGAAAGCCAGCTGATTGAGGAAATAGTTCAATTTAGAAAGAAGTTCCCTGAGCAGATACAGCATTTAAAGTGATCTTCCGAAAGCTGACTGAGGTTGAAGCTTGACTGGGAGATATTTGATAAGTTAGATAATTCAAGGAGACATCTTCCCAATGAAACGTAGAACAATAGGAAGATTTACATAAAGATTTTCTGAACATCTTTTCAGCCTTCGTGACTTGAAAGTAATCCTTTGTTTACTTCACATTCTTTTTTCTTTTTTTGAATGCTTAAGGCTGTATAACTAAAAGCATTGGGGCTAGAAACTTTTGTTTTACTGAGGTAAAAGTCCTTTTCTTGACACTATTTACCATGATCTTTTGGCTGCAAGACTGTTATTTTCTAGACACATCACATCTGAAGTTCATAGGAATTCAAAGGTTCTCATGTAATGTGAATAATTCAATGTATGAAGTTTTATTAACTTGAAGGATAGTGACGATGAGGACCTTTGGTTCTGGAGCAAAATTTCATAGTGAGAATTTGAAAGAATGGTTTCGTAACACAAGATAGTAAGGTTTGGTAGTCTTCTGCAATTACATGCACTATCTTAATTCCATACACAACAGTATAAAGTTGACTATGGTGAAATACGAAAAGTACGTGTTCAAGAAATTAAGTGGGGGAACTTGTTATTACTATGTTGTCAATAAAGTTTGGATTGGCTGGTAGAATTATCTCATAACTAGATTAAGATAACCACGTAAAATAGTTGATGGACATCCCCTGCATATTTCAATGCGTTGACTAATACATTTAAGCTTAGTTTTGATTTTTGATACCATAAGTAAGAGGTCAATGGTGCGTACTCGATAATGCTTGAATTACTTCACATTGTTCCAAGTTTTGACAGGGCAGGGATGTTAGCGCCATGGTGATTGAGAAAGCACAATATTTGAAACTTTTCAAGCCCAAAGGTGAAAAGAAGAAGCTAGACTTACCTGCACAGAAGAATGTCCTGACAAAATATTTTTGTATCCTCTTAAAACCCCAATTTTTGTGATTACCTTTTCTTTCTTACATGCATTTATTTTCTATAAGTATAATTTGATGCTTTGCCTTATTACAAATGCTTTGTGCAGTTAGATAGTGCCTGACAATATTTTCTCTGAACTGAAGTCGCAGAAAAATTAAAATGACTGTTGGAAGCGAGTGAGCTTAGCAAAGTTTAATGACAAGCCAATTATGTGCCCTATCACTTAGACTGATTGCCACTTTGACTTGCCTTTCATTTACTTGACATGGATTGCCAATCTCCTAGTCCATGAGGAAAGGAAATATGTTCCCTCTTTTCTCCAACCAATCAATCCTGTTGTGCCAACAAATATAGGAAGCTATCAGAGATCAGGAGACTTTCTCAGCTGCTAAGAACTTAAGACCAGTCATAAACTACTCTTCCCACAATTGGGGCCTCTTACAAACTTGCGTGGCCCTAAACTATTCACAATATTATTGTTGAGATAATGCTAGGATCAACCCCCCTGCACCTACAATTAAAGGATAAGATACATGGCCCACTGATCGCAGTGGCTTCTGAGTCTATATATTGCTTGATGTTCTGGGCTCTAACATGACTGAATGAGATGCAAGTAGCTTAGAGATTGCATATCTTTGAGAGAAACTGTTGAAACTTCTTTTAGTAATTGTATGCATGACCTGCATCATGTGTGACAAATGTCTCATAAAGAGGTACTTCGAATTAGAAGCGGGAATCTCTATTGATCGAATCTATGTTAGGTTTGCAATTATAACTGAATCACAGCATCAGGAAAATGAGTCAGGCTTAAAGATATCTTTCTTTTGTTCTTCCACGCTTTGAAAATTGACACGGACCCCTTTAGATGGTTTTGCGCAAGATCTTTAAAGGTCATCCTCATTTGGCTATGGTACAAAAGTATTCCTTAATTTATTAAGGCTTCGCATCTCTTGAAACAAAGAGGGATTTCAAGGCTCCTAGAGCTACCTCTAACCAGTCAAGTCCAGTGGATAACCTTTCTCAGAGTTTCAGTGAACACAATTCTGAGGAGGCTCTGGCTGATACGAGCCATTGTCAACCGTCTGAGCTCCATGAAGTAAGCAGATGATTTGTCCTTGGAACTACACCTTTTTTGCCTGAATGATACACCACAAATATTGTGAATAGTTGTGAATGCATACTTAGTCTAAAACAAACATGTTTGAAGATAGTTGATTTCCTCAAACTTTGTTCAATTAGGAAGAAGATGGTTTCCCACGAGAAGTTCCAGAGGCAACAGGATTAATGGAAAGTGGTAAGCCCAAAGCCGATCGTGGCCATACGATTCTGATATGTGCAGGTATGTTGTCATGAATTGGCTTCCATTGTCTACATTGTCAGTAATTAAAAAATTGCAGGTACATTGGACGAGGTTGGAAGACCAGGGCTCTCATTACTACAACAATCCAGGCTTCCGATTCATAAACCTTGTATATCATCGAAGGAGCATCAACCCAAAAGCCCTATAGACAGAGTTGATGAAAAAACATGGAAAGAGCACAAAAACCCTATTGTAAGGAGTTCCTACTTTGAGCATCAGTTTGTAAATGAAACTAATAGAGACAAGGAACGAGAAGATACCCTGGTTGGAAGTGATCCCACAAGTGTCGGAGGGACTGTTTGTGTGAAAGGAATGATAATAAAAAAGAAGACCAACCCTGATGACACGGCTGAAAATGTAGGTGTAAACAGCATCGAGGATAAAACAAGAAAAGACGACAGAGAGGTCATCGTAAGGAGCTCTTATTTCAAGCATCATGCTGCGAAGGAAACTAATAGAGATGATGGGAAAGAAAATATTCTGGTTAAGAGTGATCATCCAATCAGTCTAGGTGAGACTGACTTTACGAAGCGAGTGATCATGAAGGGGAAAACCTCCCTTGATGATATATCGCAAAAAGTAGGTGTAAACGGAATCGAGGAAAAAGCCAGAAGAGAGAACAGAAAGGTTATTATAAGGAGCTCCTATTTCAAGCATCAGTCTGCAAATGATACCGATAAAGATGACGAAAAAGAAAATATCCCAGTTGAAAGTGATCAACCCATCAATCCAGGCGAGACTGACTTTTTGAAAGGAAGGATCATCAAGAGGAAGACCTCCCTTGATGGCACAGTGGAAAAAGTAGGTGCAGTCTGCTTTCTACAAAACTTCTAGCAACGCAGCAAGATAGCTTTCTTAACTGCTGTGTCCTGTTTTTCCTTGTCTCAGGAGAGCTCCCAGCAAAAGCGTATGCATGTGGATGATTCTGTTGTCGATGATGGTACGTTGTCAACTGAAAATGCGTTATTAATATGAGAACTTGTTTAGCAATTTTCTTGGTTCTTAATCTTAACATACTATCATGTTTGGCATAAATATAGATTGATGTTGGTAGATATTGTACAAGATACTGATTTCACAGAATTAAGGATGAAATTGGGAATGCCATTTATTATCTAATGGATGAAGATGCATGCGTTAACATGACAAAGCCAAACTGCATTTCCTTTGTAGGGCTAAGCTGAGCTTCTAATTGGTTTGCAACATTCAAGCCTTTGGGTGTACATGAAATAAAGTCGATATCACCGGGAAGCTTGCAAAATCTTTGGGTTATGCCACGTATCAAGAGGAACCATAATATTGACTCTACAAGTTGCAATGCATTTTAGCTCTGAAAAAAGGCCTCCTGGTTTAGCAGTGAGCTACAGTCCATTCTTAGGCTCATACTCTGGTTAATTGAATTCTAAATCCATGACTCATCTGCATGTACTTTGATTTTGAAAGTGAAGGCTCTTCATCAGAGGGTTATCATTATTTGGTAGTCCACCTTTATTTTGAAAGTAGATGCTTACCATTATTTGGTAGTCCACCTTTCTTTTGGTTCTGTGGTGGCCTCTTTGGCATTTTGGAGACTACATGTTTTAAAAGTTCCCTCAGGATGATGTTAGAAATTTGATGCATCTCTTGGCTTCAGGTAATCATGCCCCTGCCCCTGGATCAGAGAAGTCATTCACTGGTTCTGAAGAAAAATTTGGAGCTGACGTCTCTCATTTGGGCCGCTATTCTGACATAGCAGAAGAATCATTAGAGAGATTCGTCTCGGTAATATCGTCGTTTAGATTCACTGGTTCTGGTTCTCGTGCCAGTGGTCTCCGTGCCCCTCTGAAGGATGTGCACAACACATGTACAAATAGGTGAGAGGATGACAGCATAGAGATTCTCTACTTTTCCGAGCTCTTAGTTGGTTATCCCTCATTGATTTCGTTCAATAGTAGGTCCACTACTGCCCCAGATTTCAGTCAGTTTGCATATGTGGCGAAGAACAGGAAGCCCATGATTCCAACCCGCAGGAGCTGATTGTGGGCAGTATATTGCGATGTAGATAGTTGCATCTGCTGAACTCCTAGTCAATACGATAGTTGCAGCTGTTATATTGCCCAGGCATGGCCAATCAAAGTGAACATCCGCTTGTGTTTTATAATAATGTGTGAACTATGCTTGTTCTAATCCTTTGCCATCCAACTGTTATGAGCAGGGTCGATCCAGTAACGTGTTTTGCACGAGTCAAAATCATCAGCGACGTTGCTATTCTTGCATCATGTCCATCATCTTCGATGCTGTAAATCAAGATGTTACTCCCTCATTTCGAGGCGGTGGAGGGACGGCCTCGAGGTTGATTTTTTGTTTTTTCCCGATATGTTGGTTGATCGTTTTTGTGGGAGGAGATCCATTTCATCAGGTCAAACTAGCATTCTAAAATTGCTAGACACCTTTTGTTCATATTTTGATTTCCGGATCACTTTGATTGGGATCATCTTTCGGATTTCATTCCAGAAAAGGCTCGAATATCTTGAGCCACAAAGTTCTGATGGACTGGGTTACGTGATCAGTTTTGCTTTCCTGATTGCAAGTGGCAATGTGGGATTCACAATCACAGAGGGTTATCTACAATTTTTGCAGGGAATTTTATTGTGGAACATGTCAATTAGCCACACGGCAAGAATTGGCTATTCATTCTCTTTTCCACTTTATCTAAAAGCCTTGAGTTATTTTTTTTTAGCCAACAACACTTCATAGTCATTTTAGTAAGAAAAAAAATGTAATTGAGTTTTAAAATTTTCAAAGAGCGCAATTAACTGAAGGATTTGATTAGATCAATTTGATAAGTTTTAGGATTTGATTGCACTTTCTGAAAGTTTTAGGATTCGATTATACTTTCATGATAAATTTTAAGATTTCCAATTCACTTTTGCCAAAAGATAATAAACAAATATAAACTAGAAAATTCTAACTAATTGGTAACTATTGCATTGGATATAATCAACAAGATTCTACTACGTATAAAGAAATAACATCAACATCCTATATTCACAATCTAATTCAAAAACCAACTATTTTTCTAATAAATCAGCAACAAATCTCGACATCTTAATGGCTTCGACGTCGTACACCGTCACTAGGAAAAAACTTGACCTCGAGTTTTAAAATGTTGGATTGTTCCATCACACAAACATCTGTCAATCTACATAGGCTTTGGATCAACATCTTCAAAGGCAGCAACTTTCCATTGCTTTAGAAAATATTCCACCGAAACTCAACAAGTGAATACGCAACTCAATCTTCATATTCTTTTAGGGAAAAATACCAAATAAGGGTCTCAAGTGGACCTTGTCTCAAACGAGAGCATGAAGTGAACATTATCTCAAATAAGAGTATAAGGTGGCTTATTAGTCTCAAATAAGGGCCTCACCTTGCTGGCTAAAGGGTATTTTCATCATTTATCTTTTTTTCTCTTTTTCCTTTTTCTGTTTTATGCCTTTCCTTTTCCTTTTCTTTTCTTTTTTCTTTTCCCCCTTTCCTCTGCTAGTTGCCGGCGGAGATCGCCGGCAAGGGCAACACTTGTCCGACGTCGGTGAGGGTCGCCCAGGCCAGCCTAGGCATGGGCGGCGCTCGCCCGCCCAGGCAAGGGTGACCCTTGCTTGATGCCGGCGAGGGCAACCCTCGCCCTCGCCTAGGCTGGCGAGGCTAGCCGTTGCCCAATGCCGCCAAGGGAGGCCCTTGCCTGAGGTCGGCGGAGGTCGCCGACAATGACCACAAGAGGGAAGAGAGAAAAAGAAAAAAAAAAGAAAAAAGAAAGGAAAAAAAAGAAAAAAAAGGAAAAGGAAAAGAAAAAAATATATTTAAATTTTTTGATTAAAATGCCCATTCTCTAACGTCGGAATAGTCACCGGCCGGCCAAAAGTCCTTATTTAAGACGGTTTGCCCACTTTAGGCCTTTATTTGAGACTAATAAGCCACTTCAGGCTCTTATTTGAAGCAATGTTTACTTTAGGCCTTTATTTGAGAAAATGAGAGTACTTTAGACCCTTATTTGATTATTAGGTTATTGACTGTTACGATGAAATGAATAATCCCTACACAAAATATGGTCTCCTTATGCATATTCTCCCAAAGCCATAAGTGGAGACCTTTTCGTCTTTGTTCCTACGAACTCTCCCGCCGGTTCAAGGCACCACCCTTTAACCCAATACACCACCCATTTCACCCTTCCAATCTCGAGAACCTCCATGTACACGAAAAATCTAGGGATGAGCATTGGGTCCAATTCGATCCTGGCACCTGCCTGGTCAGTTTGATCCCAAGCCGATTATGGGGAGAACTGAACAAGGATTGATTTGATTCCCATACTAAGGCCCGAACAGCCGGTTCCAGAAATCGGTTTTAAACCTGTTAATACTTTTGCAACTATCAAGATCTGAACCATGATTTCAGTTCGATCAAATAACCACAAAACCAAGGATGTTCTCATAATGAAATGATGCAGCTTTTATTTTTTATTTACAAAAGTTTGGATTTTTACCCAAAAAATAGGAATAAGTTGGTTTCCGGGGTACCCAAGAACCGGCATGGAACCCAGTCCTTCCCGATTTTTGGACATGATGGCCACTGGTTCAGGAACTGACACACCTAGAAAAATCAAATCACTTCAGATCCACGAAGTCTACAATATTTAGCTTCGATAGAAGTTCGGAATGTCCACTTTCAAATTGAACTCCTCCCGTCTCCGATGGTCATGGTCATCGCCACCACTCTTAGAATATTTAAATACTAAAGTGTGCATTCATTTGAGAGTTTAAATTTTTTAAAAATTGACTGTGGTCCCATAAAATCTCACAGGTGTTAGGTGGTTTTGGGCTTCTCTTACCGCAAAAACTAGCTCAAAAGATGAAACTTTTCCTCACTACATTGGGCCCCGAGTCAGAGCTGCGATAATCCATCTCTCTCGTGTGACTTTTGAATCTAGAGTTGTTGGTAACCTGCGCTCTGATATTATGTGAGATTTTGTGGGACTATCGCCAACTATTCTATTAGAGCTGGAGATCTTGAATTCAAATCTTTCCAGGCTTTATTTATCTCTCCAATTAAATATTTCCACGCTTAGTACTTGTCAAAAAGATCGGACTAAGCATGAGGGGAGATGTTAGAATATTTAAATAATAAATTATACATTTATCTAACAGTTTAAGTTTTTAGAATAGTTGGCAATGGTATCACCCAAATCTCACAACCACTATTCCTTCGATCATCATCAAAATCGTAATGACAATCCCATCAAGATGATCCCACTACTTGTCATGTTTGTCATAACCAAAATCTTCCACCTTCGCGATTCCACCGACCGCCTTTCCCACCATGATGATCTCTTCCTCGTTGTGCACCATAGACATTCTGATCGAGGGCTTCACCACAATACTCATCTCCGTCTCATCCAAAGCCGTGACTTTTCCTAAGGGTCACTGATGCAGCTTTTACTTTTGTAAGCGATACAATCAATTATTGTTAGGAAAATATTTTTGAAGTTATCAATTTACGCAAAATAAATACACCCAAAAAGATCATGTACTTGGTCTAAGGTGATTTATGGTTACGATGAGATTGGCTAACTGGGGAGTATATCCCCTTCCCACAGTGAATGAAGGAATCTCTTGGCCAGATGGCCTAATGTCACCTCGTAGGTTTATTACTTATATGGACATCAGTGTCTTGTGGTGGGTCTAAATTCTTAGGCCTTTTTGACTAGCGAGAATTTGACCTGACCAGTCCGAAATTCGATGGTTTTGATGCGCTTGATCTCTTGAGCTCATCCAAGGAATAATTTTATTTGGGGGAGGATTGATAGTCAAGGGCAGAGACTTGAACAAGATGCGACTCTCGCAAGACTTTTAAGATGGCGAAGTAGCATACATGTATTGTTTCACATTGGAGAGAGTGTAGATAGTCCAACCACAAGTGGACCTAACGTGCAAGACGTATTTTCTGTAGAATGAATTCTTATCAAAACCCCAACATTAAGCATGCTCAAATAACATGAGTTTAGACGTGTCACTAATTTATCGATTATGTTAAAATGATCACACAATCACCTTTCATGTGAAGAAATAACCCCGTGGGTCACATGATGTCACAGTTCGGGCCAATTGGCCTTAATCACCGTGTGGCGCCTAACCAGGCTTCCTTTCTAAGGATCGTTCCCATGGGCCTCATTATGATTGACCATTCCATCTCTCACATCAACTTGGGTATCTTATCGTCCCGAGCGAAGTATGTGTCTCGATTCAACATGACAACTGGTTTCGCCCTGTTGTAGCCATTATTTAGAGAGTGACATTATCTCTCCACCAGTTTGTGCATGAGTGGTCAACCTTGCCTTTAGACATCTTTCATATAATATTTCTTTTATTGGTAGATTCCTAGCACAAACTCTCTTATACCACTCCCACGATCCAATTGAATTGTTCATATTGCATCTCTCATGCTTATCCTAATATCATGAAGTTTAGCTCCATGCGTTCATGGAATTAGGAAATGTCAGTCCATGACATTCTCCCCCACTTGATTGCGTCGTGGCTATTCTTTTGCTTCCTTGCAATCCCTAATCGTCACCGTCTCTCCCCCAGATCCTATATGAATGGCCAATGCTTGCCCATGTGATATTCCTTTTTTAAGTAGATTCCTAACATAAATTTTCTAACACCACTCTAACAATTTAGTTGCACCTTTCATTTCGCATCTCTCGTGCTTCTCCCAATGTCATTGAGTTATATTCCATACCTTCGTGAGATTGGGAAATGTCGGACCGAGGCACACAATATTGCGTTAGTGCTCCATGTAAAACGTGTTAGCTCACCTTTTTTTTTTTAAATTTATAAATTTGGTCTTGCTTTTTCTTTGTCGGGTCAATTTTATTAAAGATCAAGATTTTCCACACGGACAGATTTATGTGGCTGTAAAAAAAAGGCATCGGATTGATTAGATTCCTTAACTGGGTCCCCTTATAAGCGTGTTAGCTTACCATTTTTTAACAAATTGGTCTTGCTTTTTCGATGTCGGGTCAACTTAAAGAAGCTTTCTGACATACAAGACAACGTCGATTTATGTGGCTGTAAATAAAGGGCATTGGATTGATTGGATTCCTTATTTAGGTCCCATCATATCAAACTTTCTTCTTCAAATAGAAACATTAATCGTTTGTCTGTTTATAAAGTTACCATGTGTGTTATTTTACTCATTCATTTCCATTCACCGTCGTTCATTTTCACCTACCCCTTCATGAAAATAAGCTAACATGACAGTTCATTTCATAATTTGATATCTATTCCTCTTCTTCCATTCTACCAAACATGATCAATTAAAGGAATGATGACTTTATTCTCACTAGATAAATGCTAGATTTACAATGACTAAAAAATTGATTTAAAAATAATGTGTCATACTGCTATTGCTTGTTGTTTAAGGCCCACTTATCTAAAGAGTGGCTTACAAGGCCGAAATTGTACTCTATAGGTTATCACAGGCGACGTACTTTTGTTTCACTTGTAACTACTATCCATCGACATTATTCAAACACATTTAACCGGGAAAGGTATGCTGACATAACTTATGATGGAGGATGGATAGAGGTCTCAGGTTTTTGGTCCGATATGATGGTTGTGTTGGAATTCATTAAAAGAG